GGACTCGGGCCATTTGACCTCCCCTCTGAGGTCCGTGGGTTCCCGCTGCTTCCCCGCCGCCCCACCCGCCAGCACCACGCGGGCAGCACAGCCTCCGAGGACATGACCAGCGTGGATCCTCCGGCCGCTGCTCACGGGGCCCCTGGGCGCCCGCCTCACCCTCTGGGCCTCGCAGACGTGTCTCTTTGGAAACGGCTCATGTGCCTGACACAGCTGCGGCGATCAATGGGGCCATTCAGGGATCCTCCGACCCCGTCCCTCCGTGCCAGCCCCGCCTCCCACTGTCCTGCACTCGGTGCCCGGCCCTGGCACTGCCCTCTCTGTCCTGCCTCCCCGCCCATGACCTTCACACCGGCCGCGTCAACACGGGCAGCACCACAGGCGTCTCTGTCGTTTTCTCCTGGCTGCACGCGGTTCCGAAATACTAGCCTGGAACTTCCAGATCCGGTGTCAGACCCGCGGCAGAATCAACAACAACAACAACAACAAATACACACACACACACACACACACACACACACACACACACACACACACACATATATATATATATATATATATATATATATATATATATATATGGAAAAGCAAACAGGATGGGGCTTGCAATCAGGGGAGAGGCTCCAGGATATATAAGGAAAAGCAAACAGGATGACGGAGTTTTCACGTTAAAAACATGGATCTCTGGAACTCACCCTTCCCAGGGCTCTGTGTTCTTAACATGTTCCCCTGAGGGTTCCGAAGGCCACTGGAGCGTGAAGGCCATTTGATCCTTGAATCAAGGTCCTCACAGCTCCTCCGAGAGAGATGCGCCCCCAGGAAAAATGCCGCTGGGCCCGTGGGCGGGACTGTGACGCGGTTGAGCTCACGGTCTCCGTGTCCTCTTGTCGAATGTCAGATTTGCAGCTGAACATGGGGGAGAGGGGGGGAGGGGCGGGGGTGCTGGGCCTTCCATTCAGGGCCGTTTTGGCGACTCATCTGGGGAGTCCCTGGCTGCTGGGCCGAGGGCCACCCTGGGCGCCGGAGGGTCGTCAGCAGCATCCTTGGCCTCCACCCCGTAGGTACCAGTAGCATCTTCCCCCAAACTGTCACAACCCAAAATGCCTCCGGACATTATCAAACCTCCCCTGGGCTGGGGGAGCCACCCCTGACCGAGACCCACTGCCCCCCGACACACGTCCGCTGAGAAGCCTCAAGAGACCCCACTGATTGCAAGCCCCAGCCGCCCGCTCGGGTAGAGGCCCAGGCTGGTCGAGGACACAACACAGACCCCTGCCCTGCCCGTGGCCTGGGCCGGGCTCCATCACACGAGCTTTTAGAGTTTGCCCCGAGGAAACGGATGTCCGTCCGCAGATGAACACACTGACAGGACGCAGCAGACACTGAGCGCACGCTCTTCAGCCGGAAAAAGGAAAGCCCCGCGGCCGGGGCGGAGGGCACTCCGCTGAGTGAAGCAAGCCCGTCGCCAAGGGCACCGCCGCAGGAGGCCGCCTGCGTGAGGGATCCAGACCAGCTGATCCTAGGCGCGGAGAATGGCACGGGGCTGCCGGGCCGGGCCAGGCCGTGGGGGCGGGACCTGCGGCTCCGAGGGCATAAAGCTTCGGCTGGCGGGATGGGTGGGTTGTCGCAGTCGCTGTAATGTAGCGCCCACAGGAACGGCACGCCACTGCGCTTCAAAACATGCCAACGGGATGTCCCAAATCACACAGAAAGCAGCCCACAGAAGCACGCGCAGACACTTTAGAGCTTGTGGATAAGTTCAGCCCCTGGATTGTGGGGACGGTATCACCTGTGTGTATACGGCCCAAACTCATCAACATGCATAGGTTAAACACGGGAAATGCTTGTACATGAAAAAATAAATAAAGGTGCGCCCTGATTGGTCCATTCAGCCAGAATTGAGCACCGCCAGCTCAATCCGAAAACAGAACAACCACAGAAAGATGAGTGGGAAGGAGAGATGAAAATGATGGAAGCTCTGAGAAGCCTCGAGAGGCATGGCCAAGTGGCAAGGACCAAACACAGAGATGTTCCCCGGCTCGTCGCACTATTAGGAACTGTCAGCTCTCGGCAGACGGATGGGGAGCCTGGCTGCCCCCGCCCGCGCCTGTCCTCAGAAAGGGCTCCACCATCAATCAGGAGATGCCAACTCCCATTCAAGGCCCGGGAGACGCACACGCATCTGAGTGCCCGTGGCCTTCCGTCCGCAGGTCCGCGAGGCGTCCAGGCTCTGCTTCCCGGGAATCCCAGGGCGCGGCCCCGCTCCCAGCATTGACAGCGGCGAGCATGCAAACACGGGTCCGTTACAGCTACGTGGATGTCGGACACCTGTCAGTATGTGCAGGGGTAGGAGCCCTCACACGCTGTTTGTAATTGTGGGGGGGGAGGGAGGCATTTGGGGACCAGGAAGGATCCAGGTTCTGCAAATAGGCGACCCTGGTGGCCCTCGCCACCGTCGGCATCCAACCCTGGTTACCTGACGACACAACAGGTCAGCTCCTCTTTTCTATTAAAAGACAGTTTCAGCCCCGGCAGGTTTGGCTCAGTGGATAGAGTGTCAGCCTGCAGGCTGATGGGTCCTGGGTTCGATTCCCGGTCAAGGGCATGTACCTCGGTTGCAGGCTCAGTCCCCGGAGGCAACCAATCAATGTGTCTCTCTCACATCGATGGACTTTTGTCTGTGTGCCTCCTCCCCTCCCTTCCCCTTGCTCTAAAATTCAATGGGAAATATCCCTGGGTGAGGATTAGCAACAACAATAGGACGGTGTCAGTAGAGAAGGAGTGTGCTGGGCGGCAGAGCTAGGCAGGGCCGTGGTTCATCTCCGATCTCCGATAAGAGGCAGCATCTCCGAGCGCTGACACAGCTCCGGACCGAGGCCACGGCCTTAGGAAAATGCCCGCCTTAGACCTTAAACTCAACGCAAGCAACCTGGAGGTCCTCGCGGGAAGGACTTGGAATCCATACGCGTTTACAGAAACGAACGCTCCCAGGTCACGTGTGCGGGAGAACCAGCCTGCCTCTCACGGAGCACCTCTGTGCACCGGGAGCCCGTCCGGGGCTGGGCTCGCTCTCAGCCCATCGAGCTCTTTATGGGCAAAGCCCGCAGGTGAACCGATGGCCCTGGAGCCCGCGAGACCACAGGGGCCCCGGGCTGCGGTGAACAGGCCCCGGCTGTGCACTGGCCTCGCCCTCAGTTCGGGGTGGGAAGTGAGCCGGGAAGCGGCCTCTCTCCCGGTTCCCTAATGGAAATAGTGCCGACCCGCCCACGGGAAGGGTCCGACCGGTTCAGCGTGGGGACGATTTCAGGCTCTGAAGGGCCGCTTAGATCCTGAAGCAGTGGGGGACTCAGAGGGGCAGGAAGCACGGGTCCTCGCTGACAGTGCTCAAGGTTGGCCTGCCCTTGAGCGGGTGATGCAGGCCCTGCCTGGACCACTTCTCCAATCACAGTGAGGCCCCTCCAGCTGACCCGCCTGATGGGTGGGGAGGGTCTGGGACCCACTCCCACTTTACCATAGACGTTAGACTCCAGGCCCCAGTCAGGCAGCAGGCACGCAGCCTCTGCAGTGGGCTGTAACTGGTAACGCAGGGGGCGGGGGGAGGGGGGTGCAGGCCAGGGAAACAGGTTACAAAAAAATGATGACTGTCACGATGAAGTTTTTTACAGCCTCCTGCAAAGATGCTTTTTTAAAAATTACCACACTATTATCTTCACTGTTACTCTAGGAATAAGTAAAGTTTTGTGCATGAAAAATAAAATGGGGACACAGAGCTGCTGTCTGCCAGTTGGGGTTTAAAAGGTCGCCATGAACCCTTCTGTCAAGTGCAAGAGGATGTAACTCGACAAGTCTCCCTCCCCCAGGGCTGAGCCCCACCGCAGGGAGAACCCACAATGACGTCCTGTCCCCACCTGCTAATTAATGACGTGGCGAGAACCACATCTCTGGCTTTTATCTCTGGCTTCTTTCCACTGTGCTCTCATCGCACACCTTCGGCCCTGGGTCGCCGGGCCACGGACGGCGACCACTGGATTGATTAACACCGACATGGCCGTGGCCTTCCCACCGCTGCTGTGAGCATGGAAATTCACAGCCCGGCTCGGACTGCAGAAGCCGGCCTCGCACCCGGCCCGGCGGGTTCTCGGGTTGCCCGGGAGGAAGGAAGCCAGCGTGCGGAACAAAAGGCCGGAGCAGGCGCCAGCATTCACGGGGCCCCTCCTGATGAGAGCATCGATATTCAGAAAGGTGCCCTTTTCATAAAACATGAGCAATTTGCATGCTGCATTTTTCAAAAGAGATGGGTAAGTGAGCTACAGGGGAGTCAATTACAATGTCATTCATAATGTATCCGGTGCAATAAAGAGCGATCAGATTTCATGCGTGTTTACTTTCGGAGCGGTAACTGCTGCGGGCTCATCCCGGCTGCAGAATGCAAATATGCTTCGGGGTGATTTGTGTCCCTCATTTTGACATTCGAAATCCCCGGGGTTCCTTCTCCGCCCCCCCCAGAGGCAGCGTCCGCTTGAAAACCGGAGCTCCCCTCACACATGAAAGACCCTTCTCACCGGCCCAACTGAAACCATCCTTTTTCACCTCGATCAAGCCCTGTTTACCCTGCTGCCGACCACATCCGGAAACAAATAGGAATTTGTTTTTAAAGACAGATGATTGCACAGGTATAGCGCCCAGAAGATGTAACTCACAGGAAGGCTGCGTCACTACATGCGGATACAATGTATCCAACTCCTTGTAGCACTGATACATGTTTGCAAACGCAGGCATGTGCCATGTATAAACCCCATCCATCCCATGTGCTTCTCCCCGCCCCCTAGTTCAAAACCTGAAATGTCTTTTCCAAGCCTCCTGGGGGAAAACCCCACACCAATGATGGAGCATCTGACCTGTCCGTCTGCTGAACACCGCGCCCCCCCGCCCCCCCCCCCCCCCCCCCCGTGTCCCCGGATGAGGCCCGTGCCCCCTGCTCCCCGCCCAGGTCACGGTACCTCGTAGCTGCTGGCGCTCCTCTCGGCCGGCTTCAGGCCGCGGTACAGACGGAGGATACACACTTCGGCTCTTCTCTGGGAGGGAAACCAGTGGCTCTTCACGAAATCCATGGCCATCACATGGTTTTTCAACTCCGTGCTGAAGGCTTTGATCTGGAAGGTCCGGCGCCCGGCGGTTTCCGCGTGGCGGGCGGCGGACCCGAGCGGACGGGTCCCTGCAGGAGTCCCAGGGTGCTGCATGACACGCGCAATCTTGTGACTCCGGCTCGCCAGCCTGGCAGACACAATTTTCTTTGTTTCACCCGGGCACTGAGCGCAGCAGGAGGGACCGGGGAAGTGGCCCGACTCCGACCTGCCCCAGTGTTTTCCAGCTCACAGCTCCCTGTCCCCATGCCCCAGCGGCCCCAGGTACAGGTGTGTGCGCGGGGCTCTCCAGGGTGACCTTCACGGGCCATAAAGCGACTCCCAGGCTCCCACCTGCGTTCCCCGGCTGCCTGGATTCTTCTCTGATTTCAGATGCATTTCTCTGGGTCCCTGCGCTCACGTCCTGAAGGCAGAATCCGCCCGGTGACCGGTGACCGGGAGGCTCCGTGCGTTACGGCTCCGGCCCTCCAACCCACATAAATGATTTACAGGACGCCGGGCCAAGGAGCCACAAGTGGCCATGGCTGCCTCTTACAGCTCCTGCTCTTCCATGCCGGGGCTGGGAGAGGCCAGCCCAGCTCCGGCCACACAAAGGGTGACCTCAGCCCGGGAAGATAAGAGACACATTCACGTGACAAAGAGAACTTGGGCTCAGAGCGGCGCCGGCGGCCAGTGGGCCTTAGAGGAACAGGGCTGAGCGAGGAGGGTGGGACACGATGGGGGCTGGGGGGTCCCCAGTCAAACCTGAGCAGTCCCCCGCCCCCTGAGCCTCAGTCTCCCAGGAGGAGAGTGGGAATCATAGCACCTGCCATCACAGGGCTGTCGGGGGATGGGGCACCGATTGGAAACGTAAGGAAGGGGCAAGGGCAGAGGGTCAGGCCTCCCAGGGCAGGTGCCTGTGTGCTGGGTGCTGGGCTGCCTCCGACGTGTCAATGTCAGGAGTGGACATTCACACGGCGCTGAAAATGACTGGGTCCTGACCTGTGATCATGTAGACATGCAGGTGTGTGACAGACTCCTTCGCGTGGCATGGCATGTGTGGGTGCCACCCCTGTCAGCCCAGTACCCACGCGGAGGCGGAAACTGCTGGCCTAGGGTCAGGGGCTGGGCAGGAGAGGGCTGACGAGAGCAGCGGGCTGTGTTCCCAGGCCCCAGACAGCTCTTCTCTGGGGGCGGCTTCCTGGGGCTCTAGGCCAAGATGTCCTCCCCTCAGGAATTCTCCCCCCCCACAGAGATGGCCCCCAGTGACTCTGTTTCCCCACCTGGAAAGCCATGGGGGCAGGTAAATGGAGAAGTGATTGCAAATGACCCTCCTGAGAAGGTCACTGCCCACAGAGGGCCCCGCGCCTCCACACGCAGCGGGCACGGCGAATGCGGCCGGGGGGAGGTTGGCCACACGATGGAGACCCCGAGAGGCCCTCCTGGGAGACAGACACGGTGTCCAATCGTTTATTTATTTGTTTGTTTATTATTGATTTCAGAGAGGAAGGGAGAGGGAGAAGAGACAGAAACATCACTGATGAGAGAGAACCCTCATCGACCCGCTGCCTCCTGCCGCCCCTCCTGGGAACGGAGCCCACATCCCAGGCCGGTGCCCTGACCGGGAATCGAGCCGTGACCTCCTGGTTCCTAGGCTGATGCTCATCCCCTGAGCCCCGCCGGCGGCCTTGAAGGACGCCTGCTGTGCTGCCGAGCCGCCTCCCGCAGAGTCCACTGCAGGGCCCCCGTCACGCTCCGCGCCCGCACTTTGTCACAACGCCGGCCCAGCGGGAGACGGGGGCGGTCCCTGCAGCCATGTTCACCAAACGACATCGCTCTGCAGGGAAAAGGGCTCTTTGCTGTCCTCGTTCAACAAATCACTCCGTCGGCCACTGACCTCACTGACGCCCAGCGGACGACCCTGTTCCATTTCCCCAACCCGGCCCCCGGGGCTGCCGTCCGATGGCACCAAATCAACAGAAATGAGCCTTGAATGGGTGCGTGTTGAAAGGTCTGTGGAACTGATCTCTTCCTCCTCCCGTGCCCCTGGCCCCTAGGCCGGGCTGTGTGGGAGGCGCGGCGCGGCGCCTAAATAATGAATTATTCACAAAGCAGGAGCTCGCAGGTACCCGGTGCCAGAAACGCGCCTCTGAATTCTTAACCTGCTCTCCAGCGGGATTGGCATCGCGCCCCGAACGCTGCCCTGATTATGCCGCGTTCCAGAGCTGACTGTCGGCAGGGCCCGCACAGACCCGGGAAGCAGGAGGCAACAATGAAGGCAGATGACTAGGAACTTCTGAATGCATGATTTGGCTTCCTTTCCGGGGGAAGTGACATTTTTATTTATGGTGCTTCGCTCATTCAGTGGGAGCTGATGTCCTCTCTCCTCCCAAAGGCACAGCGCGTGCCAAGAACGTCCAAACAGCCCCCTCCCAAAACAGGTGACAGGGCAGGCCGCCAGACACAGAACCAGGCTGCCGGGCACAGTACCAGGCCGCAGGACACAGAACCAGGCCGCCAGACACAGAACCAGGCTGCCAGACACAGAACCAGGCTGCTGGGCACAGTACCAGGCCGCAGGACACAGAACCAGGCCGCCAGACACAGAACCAGGCTGCCGGGCACAGAACCCAGACCACCGGGCACAGAACCAGGCCGCCAGACACAGAACCAGGCTGCTGGGCACAGAACCAGGTCGCAGGACACAGAACCAGGCTGCAGGACACAGAACCAGGCCACGGGGCACAGAACCCAGACCGCCGGGCACAGAACCCAGGCCGCCGGGCACAGAACCAGTCTGCCGAGCACAGAACCAGGCCACAGGACACAGAACCAGGCCGCCGGACACAGAACCAGGCCGCAGGACACAGAACCCAGGCCGCAGGACACAGAACCAGGCCGCAGGACACAGAACCCAGGCCGCAGGACACAGAACCAGGCCCTGGGCACAGAACCAGGCCGCAGGACACAGAACCAGGCCCTGGGCACAGAACCAGGCCGCAGGACACAGAACCCAGACCACCGGGCACAGAACCAGGCTGCCGGGCACAGAACCAGGACACAGGACACAGAACCCAGGCCGCCGGGCACAGAACCAGTCTGCCGAGCACAGAACCAGGCCACAGGACACAGAACCAGGCCGCCGGACACAGAACCAGGCCGCAGGACACAGAACCCAGGCCGCAGGACACAGAACCAGGCCCTGGGCACAGAACCAGGCTGCAGGACACAGAACCAGGCCCTGGGCACAGAACCAGGCCGCAGGACACAGAACCAGGCCGCAGGACACAGAACCAGGCCGCATCTTTCTCCGCTTCTTCGTCCCCACATTCCCCTCCCCCTCCGGGTTCTAGAACAAAACAAAGGGGCTGAGAACGAGGAGGCTGGCAGGGGAGCCAGGCTAGGAGAAGGCCGTTGCCGACGAAATCCGCGCCCTGGAAAGGACTGGGCGGTGCTGGGTGGTGACCTGAGGCTGCAGCCAGGGCCATCACCCCAGGGAGCAGCGATCTTTATATCCATAGTAGTTGCTCAGTAGATGAATGAGATGCAAAGCGGTCATCTATCTTTTCTGAAACGGATGCCTCTCTCTCTCCTGCAAATGGAACATGTGTTCCTGCTTCTGTACAGTGTTTGGAAACCGCGGTAATTGGATGCTTTTTTCCAACGTCCCAGAAGGAAGTGGCACAGACTGTCTTGCAGAGTCACCCACAGGCTCCTCTGCTCCCCCTCCTGTGAGCCATCAATGCTCGTTTATGCAGCACCCACTGGGCGTTCCGCTCTGTGCCAGGGGGCAGATGGACGGCAGCGACTCTGAGCAGGAGGGCGAACCGGCTGGACGGGTCTGCCCAGGTCTGTGTCCCGCACGCACTGCCTCCTTTGCCCACTTCCTGAGCCCGGGCACCGGTGAGGGCGAGGCCCCTCCCTGCGCACATCCGCCCTCTGGGCTCTCCGGGGTCCCTCGGGGCCTCGGCCTGGGTCCCTCACTCTGGCCGCTGCGCCAGCCTGTGCTCGGGCCAGCCTTGGGCTCCGCTCCTCCTCCTGCGGGCGGCCACCAGCGCTGGCCTCGCGGGTTTCCCGCCACTTTCCCCGCCGGCTGGTTTCCGCCCGGCCCTGCGAGCATTTCTCTGGGTTCCTGTCCCTGCCCCTGGAACGCACATGGCGGGCAGCCCTCCTTCTAGGCGAGGGAGACGCGGAGTGAGCGAGGACCACGGGCCAGCCCCGCCAACGCTTTCCAGGGAACAAGCAGACACCTGGGGGCGTTCTCTATTTTTACTTTTTTTAATCCTCACCTGAGGATATGTTTTCGCTTGGTTTTCAGCCAGAGGGGAGGGAGGGGGATGTCGCTGGGAGAGAGACATACCTGTGGGTTACGTCCCGCACCACCCTGACCGGGCCGGGCTCAAACCTACAACCGAAGTCCAAGCCCTTGACCAGAATCGAACCCTCAACCCTTCAGTCCGAGGGCCGATGCTCTAACCACTGAGCACGCCAGCCGAGCATGGGGCTGTTTTCAAACGTGAAGAATCCGTCCTGGCAGCCAAGGGCTGACAAGGTTTGAGAAGGTGTAGCCCCCGTCCTGTAAGGAGGCAGCAGACGCCCACCCTCTGGCATGTCAGCTGGAAAATGAATAACTCGAGTCCAAGCTCAGGCCCCTGGGTGGTCCTGGGTGGCGCTTCCTGCTGACCAGTGTCCACCCCGCTGGTCCCAGCCACAGCCCAGGCAGTTCCCCCCGTCGGGGTTCACCCACGGACACCCTCTGAGCACCCCAGCGGCAGGCGCGGTTCCGGGCGCAGGAAGGCGAGTGAAGTGAGACACAGCCCCGGCTGCATCCTGCTCGGGGAGGCACAGCGGGGCAGCCACTGTGGAGAGCGCGTGGCGGGTCCTCGAGAAACTGAGCGTGAAATTGCCACGGGACCCGCATGCCAGCTTCTGGGTTTCTGAAGAGGGACTGATCTCCCGCACCATGTCATGGCGCATCACCCACAGCAGCCAGCAGGGGCAGCGGCCCCAGCGCCCGTCACGGGGAACGAACAAATGCGGTCTGTCCCTCTGAGGGGACAGTTCTGAGCCACAAATGGAAGGACACGTCCTGAGGACACTGCTGAGTGCAATAAGGCAGAGACGAGAGGGAAGTGTGCTGTGAGTCCCCTCGTACGAGGTACCAGACATAGTCAGTCCAGAAAGACAGAAAGTAGGGTGGTGGCTTTCAGGGACTGGAAGAGGGGAGGGGGGAGCTGGTGTTTAACGGACCCAGGGTTGCTGTTTTGTAAGACCAAAGAGTTCTGGAGACCGATGGGGGTGATGGTTGTACAAAAATGTGCATATACCTAACGTCACAGAATCATACACTTAAAAATGGTTCTGATGGCAAACTTTCTGTTGTGGATATTTTATCACAATTAAAATTAATTTTTAAAAAGTAGTCCCGCCCCA